TATCTCGATAGCTTCTTTTATCCATCTTTTGTATTTCTGTTGTTCGGTGTTTATTATACTTATGTTGTCCCAGTCCATTACATGGTTTTCGCTTGTGCAGTGATCTGTTACAGCTGACTTCTTTATTGTGTTTTCTGCTTCTTCTTTTGTTGCTCTTGTGTGTTTTCGACTTGTTTCTTTCTCGCACTCCTTTCTATGTTCTATTGTTTGTGTGTTGAGTTGGCGTCCGGGTTCTCCTACGTATGTTTTATTGCAGAGTTTGCATGGGATTTCGTAAACGAGTCCGCATTTAAGTCCAGCTGGTATCTTGTCTTTTGGGTGTACTAGTCTGTTTCTAACTGTTGTGTACGGTTTTGTTGGTGTGTTTATGTTGTGTTTTTTCATTGTTGCTCTTAGTTTTTCCGTTATGCCTCTGATGTATGGTAGGGTTATCACTGGTTTTTGTTCTTGTCTTTTTGGGTTGCTGGTTCTTTGCTTTGGTTGTTTACCTTTGTTTATTGCCCATGTCGGGTATCCGCAGCTCTTTAAAGCGTGTTGTATGTGTTTGTCCTCTTGTTTACGGTCTCTTTCTTCTGTTACCATGTTTGCACGGTGATATAATGTTCTGATTACTGACATGTTGTGTATGGTGGGGTGTTCTGATGTCCATAATAGATATTGGTCTGTGTGTGTTGGTTTCCTGTATGTGTTTATGTTTAGGGTCCCGTCGGTCTGCCTGGTGATTTTCATGTCCATAAATGCTATGCTGCCTTCTGTTTCTGACTCATATGTGAACTTTATGTTGCCTGTGTCATCCATGTTATTCAAGTGTTGTGTTAGTGTTTCTGTTTGTGGTTTTGGTGTGATTTCCAGTATGTCGTCTACGTAGCGTTTCCATAGTTTTATTTTGCAGTTTGTGGGGGCAGTGGCTATGGCTTTCTGCTCTAGGTCTTCCATGAAAAGGAATTACAAACTTGATAAACAAATGGAGGAACTAATTAAAGGACACATGTTGGAAAAACAGGAAAAAGAGTTCATAAAAGTAAAAGAAAGACACATAAAGAAGTTAAACTCATCAACGAGAAAAGGAGGGAGGAAATACAAGATAACTCCACACAAAGCTCATGGGTATGTAACATTTCACAATACGAACTAACAGAAGCAGAAGAAAGCATATTAAAGAAAAATTTAAACTTTGCAGTAACAACAAAGAAAATACCATATGATGAGTTCATTGTAGCAGCAGAACTAGCATGTCAACAGATCACAGATGAGGGAAAGAAAGCAGAACTCAGAAATAATGTACTTGGGATATTAAAAAACAGCCACATTCAACACAGCAATATTACAAAAGAAGAACAATCAGCCATGACAGCATTATCTAAAAATGAACAGATAATGATTCTACCGGCAGACAAAGGAAGAACCACAGTAGTTATGGACAAAGACAAATATAAACAACAGAAGAAACAGATGTTAGAGGACAAAAATATATAGAAAATACTTAAAAAAGACCCAACAGAAAACATTAAGAAAAATATGAAAAAAATACTGAAGCCACTACAAGAAAATGGCAAAATAACAGAAAAAATGTACACTGGATTCCTACAGCAAACACCAAGAATCTATGGAACGCCAAAAATACACAAACAAAACACCCCACTTAGACCAATAGTTGACAGCATAGGTACACCAGCATACAACATGGCAAGAGAGATCAGCAAAATCATCAGTCCGTTATTAGGTAACACAGATCAACACTGCAAAAATAGCATAGAACTGGCAAAAGAACCAAAAGAGATGACAATAGAAGATAACGACATACTCATCTCACATGACGTCACATCCCTGTCGACAAAAACATCAACCCAAAAAACCATAGACATAGTAGTTAACAGAATCAGACAAGACAAGACTTTACACAAGAGAATAAACCTCACAGCAGATGACATAGCACAACTGATAGGACTGGTAGCTAACTCCACTTACTTCACATACGACAACACAATATACAAACAACTGGAAGGCTTCACCATGGGTAACCCGTTATCAGCCACCCTGTGCCAGTTTTTCATGGAAGACCTAGAACAAAAAGCCATAGCCACCGCCCCCCCAAACTGCAAAATAAAACTATGGAAACGCTACGTAGACGACATACTGGAAATCACACCAAAACCACAAACAGAAACACTAACACAACACTTGAATAACATGGACGACACAGGCAGCATAAAGTTCACATATGAGACAGAAACAGAAGGCAGCATAGCATTTATGGACATAAAAATAACCAGGCAGACCGACGGGACCCTAAACATAAACACATACAGGAAACCAACACACACAGACCAATATCTATTATGGACATCAGAACACCCCACCATACACAACATGTCAGTAATCAGAACATTATATCACCGAGCAAACATGATAATAGAAGAAAGAGACCGTAAACAAGAGGACAAACACATACAACACGCTTTAAAGACCTGCAGATACCCGACATGGGCGATAAACAAAGGAAAACAACAAACAACAACAGAAAGAAAAGAAGAACCTAAGCAAAGAACCAGTAACCCAGAAAGACAAGAACCAGAACCAGTGATAACCCTACCATACATCAGAGGCATAACAGAAAAAATAAGAGCAACAATGAAAAAACACAACATAAACACACCAACAAAACCGTACACAACAGTTAGAAACAGACTAGTACACCCAAAAGACAAGATACCAGCTGGACTTAAATGTGGAGTCGTTTATGAAATCCCGTGCAAACTCTGCAATAAAACATACGTAGGAGAAACCGGACGCCAACTCAACACACGAACAACAGAACATAGAAAGGAGTGCGAGAAAGAAACAAGTCGAAAACACACAAGAGCAGCAAAAGAAGAAGCAGAAAACACAATAAAGAAGTCAGCCGTAACAGATCACTGCACAAGAGAAAACCATGTAATGGACTGGGACAGCATAAGGATCATAAACACCGAACAACAGAAATACAAAAGATGGATAAAAGAAGCTATCGAGATAAGGAGACGTGGATGTGGGACCATGAACAGGGACGATGGAGTTTACACGTTGGACCGCGCATGGGACTGCATCATCGGAGAGGGGAGAGCGGGCAGCAGAGCGCGACAACGTCCTCTGCTGCCCGCGGATAAACGGAGAAGGAAGTGACGCCACCATCAGCGTCAGCCTGATGAAATTTGCAGCCGCGAACAAAACGTTGCAGGTAAAAAAAAAACCTTTCTGTGTTTTAAAAAGAACTAAAAGATGGAATTAGAATTTCAACAAAGCAAGAACACACCAAAGGGGACTGTTCTGTTCTGGTCCTGCTGGACCTGACTGCAGCCTTTGACACTGTTGACCATCACCTGCTACTGGAGAGGCTGAGAGACTGGGTAGGCCTATCAGGATCTGCTCTGGAGTGGTTCTCTTATCTTTCTGAGCGCTCCTTTTCTGTGGCCGTCTCCAAGTTTCGGTCCTCCACCACCTCTCTTACCCATGGTGTCCCACAAGGTTCGGTGCTGGGGCCTCTGCTCTTCCTCCTCTATCTGCTTCCTCTTCAGCACATCCTGAGCTCCTTCAAAGGAATCTCCTACCATCTTTATGCAGATGACATCCAACTGTACATCTCCTTTAAGCCCCATGAGATGTCTAAGCTGCAGCTGTTACACACCTGCTTAGACTCTATCAAAACCTGGATGGTGGGAGCTTTCTTCAGCTGAATGAAGATAAGACTGAGATCCTCATCTGTGCCCCAGACAAGCTGGTTCCCAAAGTCAGAGACTCTCTTGGTCAGCTTGCTTCCCACACCAAACCTTCTGTCAGGAATCTTGGCGCGACCTTTGACCCAGCTCTCACCCTGGATTCTCATGTCAGTTCTCTTGTTGGCTCTTCCTTCTTCCATCTCAGGAACGTTGCTAAGCTGAGTCCCATTCTGTCCCGCTCTGAACTTGAGACAGTTCTCCACACCTTCATCTCCTCACGCTTAGACTACTGTAACTCTCTTTTCACGTGTCTGAGCAGAACCTCCCTGAACCGTCTACAGGTGGTTCAGAACGCCTGTGCTCGGCTTCTGACCAAGTCCTCCAAACACACCCACATCACCCCGCTTCTCCTCCAGCTTCACTGGCTGCCAGTCAACTTCAGGGTTCATTTCAAGATCCTGGTTCTGGTCTATAGGGCCTTACATGGACAAGCACCATCTTACATTGGTGATCTTCTTAGTCCCTACACTCCCAGCAGGTCCCTGAGGTCCAGTGATCAAAGCCTACTGGTTGTGCAGCACCAGGCTAAAGGTCAAAGGTGACAGATCATCTGCTGCTGTGGCCCCCAGACTCTGGACCTCTCTCCCCCTGAGCCTGAGATCAGTGGACTCAGTGGTCTCCTTTAAAAAGCAGCTGAAGACTCACTTGTTCAAGCTGGCTTTTGTATGACCTTCTTCACCTCTCTCTCTTTATTCTGCTCTCCCCACCTATTCCACCTTCCTCAGGATCCACTGATTTCCCTCTTTCTAGTCACTCTCTCTTAACAAATTTTTTTAATCACAATTGTCTATTTTTTGCTCATTTTAATTATATTTTTAACCATTTTCTAAATTCTTTTTTTATATTTTTGCATTTTTTGTTTTTGTGAAGCGCCTCGTGATTTTTATCTTGCGAGGCGCTATAGAAATGATATTTTTTTTCTTCTTCTTCTGTTAGGGTCTGATAAAAATGCTGATTTGATTCCAAACATTTAGTTTTTTAAAGTTACTACTAACTAGTTCATCATGTGGTTCAGTTAATAAAGATAGAAAAGGTGTTAAAGTTTCAAAGAATGAAAAAGTGAATTAGCAGAAGTACAGATGAAGATTTTATCAATATGTCCACAACTAAGTTTGTGGCTCTTCATTCTATATGATGATGTCACTTCCTGTCTCAACGAAAAAGCTGTGTCCCACTTTAGAAAGTTTTTTTTTACCTTTCTAGATAAATGAAAACTTATCTATAGTCATCCTCTTCCTCCTTTAACACAAAGCTGTGAAGCTTGAAGGAAACCAACAGAACTTCTGCTTAAACAGAGGAGCGAGGACACGTTTTTGGTGAGTTTAGAGGATTTTCTGTCAACAACAAATAAAACCACTGATTAATATTTTCCTACCATTATTCTTGTTTTTTGATTTTAGTTCAGATTTTCTTGTTTTGGTTATAAAACATTGAACTAAACTACAAATTTATGTTAATTATTTGACTTTTACTGAGAAAATTTGTTATTATTTTAAAGATAAGATTTTAAAACTTTTGCAAGAAACAAACATTTATGTTTCTGTATTTTAAAAACTGGCCGTGTGTGTGTGTGTGTGTGTGTGTGTGTGTGTGTGTGTGTGTGTGTGTGTGTGTTCTCAGACTGACTGTGGTGATGATTTGTCCACAAAACTCTGAACAAGGTGAGAACATCTTCAAACCAACATACTGAACACATCTGGTGTCTTTAGAAAATCTTTAACATCCAGAAACATCAGACAGACTCAGGAGGAAAGATGTCTCCATGGCAACAACACATTAATGTCTGCTGTCAATAACTTCCTGTTTTTAACCAGAAACTAGAGTCACACCTGAGTTATTTTATCTAAAACTTGTGTAGAATTCATGCAGCAGAAGCTGTTTTCTGGAGACCATGATGGAGCAGATGTGGGTTGTATGTTGTGAGTGGGTCCAGATGTGGGTTGTATGTGGTGAGTGGATCCAGATGTTGGTTGTATGTTGTGAGTGGGTCCAGATGTGGGTTGTATGTGGCGAGTGGGTCCAGATGTGGGTTGTATGTTGTGAGTGGGTCCAGATGTGGGTTGTATGTTGTGAGTGGGTCCAGATGTGGGTTGTATGTTGTGAGTGGGTCCAGATGTGGGTTGTATGTTGTGAGTGGGTCCAGATGTGGGTTGTATGTTGTGAGTGGGTCCAGATGTGGGTTGTATGTTGTGAGTGGGTCCAGATGTGGGTTGTATGTTGTGAGTGGGTCCAGATGTGGGTTGTATGTTATGAGTGGGTCCAGATGTGGGTTGTATGTTGTGAGTGGGTCCAGATGTGGGTTGTATGTTGTGAGTGGGTCCAGATGTGGGTTGTATGTTGTGAGTGGGTCCAGATGTTGGTTGTATGTGGTGAGTGGGTCCAGATGTTGGTTGTATGTGGGGAGTGGGTCCAGATGTGGGTTGTATGTTGTGAGTGGGTCCAGATGTGGGTTGTATGTTGTGAGTGGGTCCAGATGTTGGTTGTATGTGGCGAGTGGGTCCAGATGTGGGTTGTATGTGGCGAGTGGGTCCAGATGTGGGTTGTATGTTGTGAGTGGGTCCAGATGTGGGTTGTATGTTGTGAGTGGGTCCAGATGTGGGTTGTATGTTGTGAGTGGGTCCAGATGTGGGTTGTATGTTGTGAGTGGGTCCAGATGTGGGTTGTATGTTGTGAGTGGGTCCAGATGTGGGTTGTATGTTGTGAGTGGGTCCAGATGTGGGTTGTATGTTGTGAGTGGGTCCAGATGTGGGTTGTATGTTGTGAGTGGGTCCAGATGTTGGTTGTATGTGGTGAGTGGGTCCAGATGTTGGTTGTATGTGGGGAGTGGGTCCAGATGTGGGTTGTATGTTGTGAGTGGGTCCAGATGTGGGTTGTATGTTGTGAGTGGGTCCAGATGTGGGTTGTATGTTGTGAGTGGGTCCAGATGTGGGTTGTATGTTGTGAGTGGGTCCAGATGTGGGTTGTATGTTGTGAGTGGGTCCAGATGTTGGTTGTATGTGGGGAGTGGGTCCAGATGTGGGTTGTATGTTGTGAGTGGGTCCAGATGTGGGTTGTATGTTGTGAGTGGGTCCAGATGTGGGTTGTATGTTGTGAGTGGGTCCAGATGTGGGTTGTATGTTGTGAGTGGGTCCAGATGTGGGTTGTATGTTGTGAGTGGGTCCAGATGTGGGTTGTATGTTGTGAGTGGGTCCAGATGTGGGTTGTATGTTGTGAGTGGGTCCAGATGTGGGTTGTATGTTGTGAGTGGGTCCATATGTTGGTTGTATGTTGTGAGTGGGTCCAGATGTTGGTTGTATGTTGTGAGTGGGTCCATATGTTGGTTGTATGTTGTGAGTGGGTCCAGATGTTGGTTGTATGTTGTGAGTGGGTCCAGATGTTGGTTGTATGTTGTGAGTGGGTCCAGATGTTGGTTGTATGTTGTGAGTGGGTCCATATGTTGGTTGTATGTTGTGAGTGGGTCCAGATGTTGGTTGTATGTTGTGAGTGGGTCCAGATGTGGGTTGTATGTTGTGAGTGGGTCCAGATGTGGGTTGTATGTTGTGAGTGGGTCCAGATGTGGGTTGTATGTTGTGAGTGGGTCCAGATGTGGGTTGTATGTTGTGAGTGGGTCCAGATGTGGGTTGTATGTTGTGAGTGGGTCCAGATGTGGGTTGTATGTTGTGAGTGGGTCCAGATGTGGGTTGTATGTTGTGAGTGGGTCCAGATGTGGGTTGTATGTTGTGAGTGGGTCCAGATGTTGATGTGGTTCTCCTCTAAATGCTCCTCAGGTGAAGCTGCTGCCTCTCAGCATGAAAAACCAAACAGGAAGTCAAATCTGCTTCTCTGGGCTCTGCTGGCTGCTGCTCTCATCATTATCTACAGACTCGGTGAGTTCTGACTGATTTATTTACTATTTCATGTGTTAGAGGACAAGAGGAGAACTCTGTTATTCTGATTTCATCTGATTTTAACTTCCGTCTTTTCTTTAATCAGCTTTTGATAAAATTAGAACCAACAAAACTCTCCAAACCCTGAAGGAGGAGAAAGGAGCTCTACAGGAGGACAATAAGGTTCTACAGGAGGACAATAAGGCTCTACAGGAGGACAATAAGGTTCTAAGTGAGGAAATTGAAGCTCTGAGAAAACACATCTCAGGTGAGAATGTCGGGTTTGAAAGAGTCCAGAAGGTTCAGCCTGGAGGTCTGATTCAGGCCCGTCAGGATTATTTAATCTGAGACTTTCTGGATCAGATATGATGTTTTTCTCTAATTCCTTACAATATACAACTAATAACAAGGTGTTATTTTCTTTCCCTGAGTGTTTAGACCAACCACTAACTAATATATTCACCACTGATGCTGTAAGAAAACATAAATACACATTTTAATGATCTTTCAGTTAAAACATTCTGAGTAGCACAGCCCACTGTAGATGACATGTAAATAGGTCTTCTCCTGACCTTTCTGTCCTGTAATGATGTTAAAGAAACATTGATGGAGCCACAGAAACAGGAAGTTAGATGGTAACTGCAGGACAGAAGACGCCTCCTGCTGCCTCCTAATCACACAAACATCTACAGAGATTTCTTCCTCCTGGATGAATCCAGTCTTTGTTCTCATCTGTTCTAAGATCACGTTTGTCTGAAGTTGGACAAAAACTGGGAGAAACATGGAGACAAGTGTTATTATTTCAGTGACCGTTACTCATCCTGGAAAGGGAGCAGAAGTTTCTGTGAGGATCTGGGAGCAGACCTGGTGAAGATCGACAGCAGAGAGGAGCAGGTATGAAACACTGCTGCAGGTTCATGTTCTCACAGATTTCATCATCATGTTTCTTCATCTGAGCTCAGAAACGTCTCTGAGTCATTTTCATCTGATTTGATTCAGGAGTTCCTGGTGGAGAAAGTGAAAACCTTTGTGATGCTTGACATTTCGGACGGTTTCTGGATCGGACTGACAGACTCAGAGGTAGAAGGCATCTGGACCTGGGTGGACGGATCTCCACTGGACAGCAGGTCTGATGGTTGTGTGAATATTTCAGTCAGTTTCACAAAATCAACTTGACAAGGCTTTTCTGGATCAGAGTCTCCAGTTTTAATGGATTTTGTTCTTTTTACTCATCTGTCAGAATGAAGTTTTGGTTAGAAGGTCAGCCCGATAACTCTAAAAAACGCAGTGCATCTGGAGAGGACTGTGTGACGATTCTGAAGAGAGAAGCTAAAGATCTGAACACCTGGAATGATGACACCTGTATCTTAGCTTTTAAAAGTATCTGTGAGAAACCAGCAGGAACTGGACCGAGTTCATCTGTTTGTGGCTGAAGTTCAGTTCAGTCTCTGGAACAACCTGAGTCCAGGATCCAGGAGGAGCAGAGATGATGTTTGTAGAAAGTTCATCTCACAAACAGCTGAAGCTTCATTTTAAATGTGTGGAAGAGAAAAATTTTATATTTTCTCACATTTTCTTTTTTCTCCTTTAGCTAAAATACAAAAGCCTAACCCATAAATAAAAACAACATTCAATCATAAATTAGCTTTTTGAACTTTGTTTATGAATTTTAAATATTTAACATACATTTTTAATGCCGCCCTACATGTGGTGCTGCTTTGATGGATTATTGGATCAAAGTTCTGGTTCCTTGATCTCTGTCAGATTTAGCTAAGTGGCTTTTTACTGTGAGCATAGATTTTATTTGTTCTGAATTTATTTTACGGAATCAAACCGGACCCAGGCCCGGAGCGGCTAATCGGGAGGGTCTGGACAATTCCCGGTGGGCCGGTCTGATATTTGGGTTCACAAGGGCCGGTGTTGTGTTTCTGGACCGGTGTTCCGTCATCATGCCACTGGGTTGATCCCCAAGGCCGCCTACCTGACAGGGCCTATCACAGTGGTGCAAAAAGTGGGTGTGCAGTGTATGCGGCGCATAGGGGCGCCAGGCTGGAGGGGGCGCCATAGCAATGATGCAAAAATATTTTAGTCTGCATTTCCTGTGTTTAATGGCACCTGTGTTTAGTCCGTTTGTGTATCTGCAACTTATTTACTTAATAACAGAGAAGCATGTGTGATTAGGCCAATCAGAAGTTCCCAGTGGGTCAGTCTGGTCGCTGTTTTTAGTTGTTGCTTTCAGGCCGGTGTTCAGATTACACTCTATAGGTCACCTGCTGCTGATGAGAGGACTTCTCCTGTCAGTGTGGAAGGAACAGGTGAGCTGCTGCTTTAGCTCCTAGAGACACTCTCCATGCCCAGACTGTAGTGACCTGTTATTTATAATTTTATAATTAATAATAAGTTAATAAATACACTAAAGCCACAGCACGTGATAGAAAGTAAGATTCAATAAGTCTGAATCTTTTCTCCCACAGCTCAGCTCTGTTATAGAAATAAGCAGCTGGACAACATCAAGTATAAAACGTGTTCACAGATAACTAATATTTTATAGAAAAAACTATATGAATTTTTCATTTTAAGATTTACTTTATTTAAGGTTATCTAAGGTTTGGATGTCTGTGAACATTACATATTGTTCTCATTGGTGTAAAAAACATAATAATGTCATGCATGATATTATTAATAACAGGTCATGATCTAGTCGGTCTGAGGTCTAAAACTCTGCCCTGGGCCTAAAGCCCTGCAGACAGATTTAGTTTCTATAAACAACAACAAATAAAAAACAGCTGCTGGATTCTACTTTGTTCCTGAAATTGAGTCACATAGTTTAACAAGTTCTGCACGCTATAGAAAATATAATCAATCACATATAATATTATAACGCCATAGATACTACATTCTAACTCTAAATGTTTCTTCTCAAAATGCACCAGACTGATGCTTTTAGATATAAAATATCCTAGAGTAGTTCAAGATTTATCCTCTTTTTCCCTCTGATCTTGTTCATGTCTGCTCTGGTCTTTCATGTCTTGTACCACACCTTGTGGTGGTGTATAAGTACTGGAGGATATTTCAAATACACTTTAGAAAGGCAGCTTAAAAGATAGAGTTCAATAAAGAGGTGTGTGTGTGTGTGTGTGTGTGTGTGTGTGTGTGTGTGTGTGTGTGTGTGTGTGTGTGCCTTTGTCTGCCTGCTCTGTCTTCTCGATCCCAAGTGAGTCGTGGAGGATGGCTGCTTATACTGAGCCAGGATTCTCTGGAGGTTTCTTCCTGTTAGAAGGGAGTTTTCCTCTCCACTTTCGCTGCATGCTTGCTCAGTATGAGGATTGCTGTATAGACACTGACACTAGTCAGTGACTCGATGCAATTTGCTGGGTTCCTATAGGAAACATTATTTCTGATTGGCTTAATGAACTGTGAATTGGAATGTTTATTATGTGAAGTGCCTTGAGACGACTTTTGTCGTGATTTGGCACTTTATAAATAAACTTGAATTGAATTGAATTGAATACACACAACATTCCTGACAATTGCATTCATGCACTGTGGTCCTGTCCACCTGTCCAGGAATTTTGGGGAAGAGTATGTGAAGACATGTCAAAGTCTCTGAAATGTCATATCCCAACCACGCCTTCTCTTTGTTTACTGGGAAATCTGGACGATGTCCCGATTGAAACATCTGTGGTTCACGTGGTTCTGACTGCCATATGCATCGCTAAGAAAACTATCCTCTTGAATTGGAAGAATAGAGAAACTCTCTGCATTAACCAGTATAGAAATCTTTTGTTAGATCATATTACACTTGATTTAGCCTCTGCTTCCACTTCAGATCAATCTCTCTGGGCTCCTTTGATCAGATCCATCACATTGCGGTGATGGGAGACCGTTGATGTTGTCCTGTGGGATGATGTGGGTGTGTGTGTGTGTGTGTGTGTGTGTGGGGGGGGGGGGGTGGAGGGTCTGAGTTTGTAGTATCCAGATGTTCCCTGGGGGTGGGTTCACTGGGGATGTCTGGGACTGGGGGAACGTTGCCCCCCCTCTGGAGGTGCTTGGGTTGCCTCGGGGGGTGGACTACTGGCGGTTGTGAGTGGGGCCCCTTGGAGGTCTTGGCGGCAGCCATGGGTCACTGCTTGGCGGCTGCATTGCCCCTGGGCGGGTCTGGGTGGGGGCTCAGGGTGTTGGGGTGGCCGGCCCGGTGTGGGGATCTGGGCGGGGCCTTGGGGGTCGGGTCCTGACATGTATGCTGCCGGGAAGAAGGCAGGAGCATGCAGCAGTGCCTGGCCCGGGTTCAGGGGCCTCGGATAGACCTTGGCTCCTCTGCTCTCCCATCACAGGGGAGGGGGAGGTCCAGGAGGGGGAGGATCCAACCTTACCTGGATGTCCTATGTCTTATATATTCTGGAAGTTGTGCAGATGCAGGGATGGGCATAGATATTATGCGGGAGTGGGACTGGGTTGGTGCCCTCGGACTCCGTGAGGCTCTGTAATGCTGCTGCTTTGGGCCCTGGCAAGATGGGCTGGGGTCTCTGTGCCCTGGGCGGCAATTTGACAACAGAGGTGCCTATTGGGGCCAGTGGGGGAGCTGGCTCCCTGGAGGGTTAAGCCCAACCAGCCATTCCTCCCCATCCCCGCATATTTCTCTCCTCCTGCTCCCTCACATCATCACACAAACATGCACATAGGACCTTGGGGGGATGGAAAAGTCAGGAACTGCGGGTATGGACCCCATTTCTGCATTCCTGTGGCAACCTGCCCCCCAATTTTATTTGCACCTTATACACTTCCACCGACAACATTCCACGCAAACACACACTTAGGACCTTGGGAGTGAGCACATTCAACGACACTTGGCAGGGGGATTTCTCAGCCTCCTCCCGAGTGCCGGTGCCCACTTCCAATTTTAAACTGCACTTAGACACCAAGGGCTGTGGGTGGAAGTGGGGTGGTGCGGTGGCATCAGCTGGCATAGGCCGGACGATGCCCGCACTGCCGCTCACCACAGCCATGGAATACACATCATCAACACACACAACACTATATTGGCGCAGGTGGAGGGAGACTAGGGGTCTTAGTACACCTCTGTTGTTGCTTGGCTTCCTGGGGCTGGAGGCAAGGAGGGAGATCTGGCCGTCTGGTTGGGGTCTGGGGTGGTGGGTTGCTGTGCTCAGCGTTGGGCGGGGGAGCCTGCTCATCAGCACCCCAGCAGAAAGGGTCATACTCTGGTAACTGGTGATGGTTGTACCCCATGTGCAGCAGTACCGGGACCAGAGTGAATAGAGTGTGTATGGGGAGCATGAGTGGATGTCCGGCGTGCATTTTTGTAAGTCTATGGTTGTATGTGCATGTGTGAGCATGAGGGAGGGAGTGTATGACTGTTTGTGTATGACTGTATATGTCAGGTGGGGCCTTTGACTCCTCTCTTCTCCTGGGACTTCTTTTGATGATATAGATCTTCGTCTCCCCTCCCCCTGCCACACCTGGTTTGGGGTGTGGTGCCTTGGTCTGCCTGAGTGTTCGTGGCTCCCGGGTCAGGGGGTTTAAGATTTTTGGCATCTGCCTGATCAATCCCGGTGGCGGCCTGGTGGGGTCTGGGTCTCTGCTGGGTCCCCGGGTCCAGGGCTCAGCCGGCTAGGGGGTGGGAGGCTGCGGGCGGGCCTGAGGGCTTGCCGCTGATGTCTCCCGGGACTCTGCCGGCTGCTGGTTGTGGCCCCCCGGGGCGATTCTCTGTGCCTCTCGAGGGGGGCGGGGGCCTTTCTGCTTGCAGTCTCCTTGGGGTTCCTGTGTTCTGGGGCAGCGCCTGGATCTCTGGGACTTGGAGCTTCCCCCGCCCCCTACGCATCTTTGGGGGGCAGGTCTGTGGTCTCTCGCACTCTCTATTGGACGCTCCTGTAGATAAACCTTACATAAACAAGCTCTCAAAAGTATGGACTTGGGCACGTTCAACACAGGTCTTAAGACTATGGTGGGCACTTAATGCACTGTGATTTATTATCGTGTGACAGTTCAGTTAAGCAATGTTGATTATATATTTCTTCATCAAGTTGACGCAGTGATAGCTTGATCTTGTTGTATTGTCCCTTTATTTATTTATTTTTTTTTTTTTTTTTTGCTTTTTTTCTTGTCTCTTTCTGCAGGTCTAGAAGCAGACTTTTGTTCATTATTGTTTATATTTGTGGATCCCCCACCCTCTTTCCCTCTCTCTCCCCACCTTTTGTCTCTTCCTTTCTCTTTCACCTCTGACTCCGTGTCTGGTCGGAATTACAAAGCATTCAAAAACAATAACAATAAAGTTTTAAGTATCAGGCGTGACATTAAAAGCAGATGCTTTGATGCTCCACCTGAGAGTAAATCTGTAAGGCTTGTTACCAGCATTCAGACATCAATTCTGTTTGTTTCACAGCCAGACAGGACACAATAATAAAAAGATTCATTACACACAACTTAAGTAGTTCAAGCCTTTTCTTGTTTCTAATGTTGATGATTGTGGCGTACAGCTCATGAAAACCCAAAATTCCTACCTCAATAAATTAGCATATCATGAAAAGGTTTTGTAAACGAGCTGTTAACCTAATCATCTGAATCAACTAATTAACTCTAAACACCTGCAAAAGATTCCTGAGGCTTTTAAAAACTCCCAGCCTGGTTCATTACTCAAAACCACAATCATGGGTAAGACTACTGAACTGACTGCTGTCCGGAAGACCATCATTGACACCCTCAAGCAAGAGGGCAAGACACAGAAAGACATTTCTGAATGAAGAGGCTGTTCCTAGAGTGCTGTATCAAGGCACCTCAGTGGGAAGTCTGTGGGAAGGAAAAAGTGTGGCAGAAAACGCTGCACAACCAGAAGAGGTGACCGGACCCTGAGGAAGATTGTGGAGAAGGACCGATTCCAGACCTTGGGGGACCTGCGGAAGCAGTGGTCTGAGTCTGGAGTAGAAACATCCAGAGCCACCGTGTACAGGCGTGTGCAGGAAATGGGCTACAGGTGCCGCATTCCCCAGATCAAGCCACCTTTGAACCAGAAACAGCGGCAGAAGCGCCTGACCTGGGCTACAGAGAAGCAGCACTGGGCTGTTGCTCAGTGGTCCAAAGTACTTTTTTTCAGATGAAAGCAAATTTTGCATGTCATTCGGGAATCAAGGTGCCAGAGTCTGGAGGAAGACTGGGCAGAGGGAAACGCCAAAATGCCTGAAGTCCAGTGTCAAGTACCCACAGTTACTGATGGTCTGGGGTGCCATGTCAGCTGCTGGTGTTGGTCCACTGTGTTTTATCAAGGGCAGGGTCACTGCAGCTAGCTATCAGGAGATTTTGGAGCACTTCATGCTTCCATCTGCTGAAAAGCTTTATGGAGATGAAGATTTCATTTTTTAGCACGACCTGGCACCTGCTCACAGTGCTAAAACCACTGGTAAATGGTTTACTGACCATGGTATTACTGTGCTCAACTGGCCTGCCAACTCTCCTGACCTGAACCCCGTAGAGAACCTGTGGGATATTGCAAAGAGAACGTTGAGAGATGCAAGACCCAACACTCTGGATGAGCTTAAGGCCGCTATGAAAGCGTCCTGGGCCTCCATAACACCTCAGCAGTGCCACAGGCTGGTTGCCTCCATGCCATTATTTTAAAGTTATATTTTATTTATTTTCTTTAGCTGTAACCAACTATAAACCACAACAGATTTCATTAAAACTCAGCAAAAAATCACCATCAGATCCAAGATGGCCGCTGCATCTCATTAGCACAGTAAACACAAACACGTCTGTAACTCAGTCTGTGTTCAGTGCTGAGTCACTCAGATCACACCAGTTTTCTTACATGAGATAATAAAATAATCTTAATTTGACCAAAACAACTGTAACTCTATCTCGTTCATGTTGTCTGGACTTCTATAGTTTTTACCTACAGCCTAAACAAGTGTGTGTGTGTGTGTGTGTGTGTGTGTGTGTGTGTGTGTGTGTGTGTGTGTGTGTGTGTGTGTGTGTGTGTGTGTGTGTGTGTGTGTGTGTAGCTGGGCTGAGCAGGTGCCGAAGGCCCATCTGTGTCATGACCTCAGTAACATGGCCGCCGCTGCTATCCTAGTCCTAGAGTCCTACTGCCCTCTAGTGGGAGGAGTCTGATCACCTCATCACCCTTTTCTATTTAAATTAGTGACACACATCCATTCTCCTTCATCACTGGTTAAATACGTTTTCTGTGAACTAAAGATTCAGCCTGTCAGGATGGAGGCTTAGTGATGCTCTTTGACCTTCAGCACAGCTGGAAGTGGCTCAGATGTCACCTGTCTGGGGCACCTCCCTCTGCTGGCTTTGTGGATTGGGCAGCCGACTCCATGCAGGATGAACTAACGTGGAGTTCAAGGTTCAGAGCCAAGGTGTTCTTCATGCAACCTTCTCAAAAAGTCAGGTCTCAGTGACTGTGGACCTCTTCTATTCCCTCTGAGTAAAAGTCCAGTAAAAACAGCAGATCTGCTCTGATGTTACAGTCCTGCTGACACTCTAGCTACACAACCCTCTGCAGGAATTCATCTTTGGTGGCTTCCTCTGCGATCTGTGTGGGAAGAGATTCTTCAGTCATCTTCACATGGACACATGCATCCATCTCGACGGTGTTTTCACTTGGTGTGGTTTCTCTAAGCAGAGCATCAGCAAACACGTGTTTTCCTGGAGTGTAGATGAAGTCATGTTCATCAGTGTTTGGAAAGAGCGTAGAGACCATAGCTAGTGACTGAAGATGGACCAGACGGCTGAGCCTCCATCAGTAAACCCTGCCGGGCATCAGAGTCACACTGATGGTAGAAATCACAACATGTCTGCTTTCTTCCCTTTTCATACTTCCTGCTTAATCTGCGTCCGTCCCTGACTTCAGGAAGATGGTTAAAACCAGACAGCAACTTCTCAGACTCACAGCAGGAAGT